AACAATAATAATAATAACAATAATTATTATTATTATTTTAACCGTCGAAACATCGCTGGGCGTCTGGCCCTGAGAATTCGCGCGATTAAAATAATCCGTACACACTCGCGGACCGACACGAGTCAGTCGCGTTCGTTTCGTAATAATAATAATGACAATGGCGACAACGACACCGCGGCGCGGCCGGCCGCACGGCAGTCCGTCCGGGGTTAACTCGATTTTACTACGCGATATTAATAATATCGATATTAGAATTTTTCGACGTTTAGAAATTCGAAAAATGTCGACTCCGTCGTATTCTAATGGCAATATTATTAAAACCGTAGCGTGTGGTATGCGGGAAAATATATCGAAAATGTCGGGAAAAAAAAAATCGTTTTAAATAATGACAGGCACCTGGCAGTACGCGAACGAGAATCTTATCTTTTTTTTTTTTTTATCGTTATAGTTTCACTAGCCGTTTTATCGGCGTGCTCGTGGGTATAGATAAGCGTAATAATTTGCCCCTTCCCCCGCCTCCTTGACCACGTTTTAATATTTGAATTATTTATATTATATCGCTATACCGATTTTTTAGTAAAAAAAAATCAAAAATAAATAATTCGTATTCGTATGTCTATATAATATAGTAGTTTATGTATCGATAAATGATAAATATCCGGATGCATTATCGGGTTTAAAAAGAAACCTATCCGAACCACTACGAGGAGGTCCGATTAAAAAATATAAAGTGTTTGATGTCTAGAGAGACGGTGTTATGCGATTTGATGTGGCGCTATTTCTAAATATTCTCTTTGGCAAAATCGAGAACACGCTTCTGAGCCGATCCGTCCGTGAAAACCGCAAACGTAAGGTTCACCTAACGTGTACGTATAGTTCGAAATACGAAATAACTAAAAGGAAGAAAACGTTCGGGAGATTCGTCAGCCAACCACCTCGTGGCGTCTCTTGGGTAATGGGCCGAAGGGCTCGTGCCGACACGTTATCGTCTTATCAATGCACTCACGACTGCGGGGTAATCGACTCGGGCGCACCCAACAGAACACCGGGAGTCGACTAAAGTACACAAAGTATGCCTCGGGGAATCGTCTGGCCGACACCTATGGGCGCCAGTGCAGTAACGTTAGTGCGACATTCCGGCGAGGTTTCGGGTGAATTCACAACGCGGGTGTGCCGGCGTAACGCGTCAAATATCCGGCGAGAAAAAGCCCCGTTAGATACTAATAACAATAATAAAAAAAAAAAAAAAACCGCGCCCCGTCCCGAACGAAAACCCGCGCGTTATTAGGCGCGGGCGCACATTATTGTCGTTATTATCGTACTCGGCGTCGTCGTCGTCGTCGTCGTCGTCGTCGTCGCTGTTGTTATATTATTGTTATTGCAATAATATTCTGCGGAGTTATACGAGCGCGCGGCGCGTTCCGTCGTTAAAACAAGCGCATACCTACGCGTATAATGCGCATTAATAATATTATAAATATACGTGTGCGCGTACCGCGCATGGGCATAATATGCGTACGATACATAAAGAGAGAGAGAGAGAGAGAGAGAGAGAGAGAGGGGGGGAAATGATATCGCATCGACGCCGTACACTTTTTTTTTTTTTCCTTTCCCCCTCGGTTTTTCCCCTTTTTTTTTTTTTTTTTTTCCCGTATAATAATCAGCCGATACTCGGTGTTGTTATACGTACGCGCGCGCGCAACGGTGCGCGCACACGTAGTATAATAGTAGGTGTACCTACTCGCAACACGCCCGCGCGCGCGTTTAATACCTTTCATTAAAATGACAAAAGTTCCAGGCACCGGACTGGATCGTAAAGCTGCGTTTTATTGCCGTCTGCCCGCCGCGGCCGCCGCCGCGTATACATATTATTATTATTATTATTATTATTATTATTATAGCCGGGGAATTTAATAACTTTATCAGAGTCGGACGGGGCCGGCCGTAGCTCATTGGGGCCACCGCTACAACGGTTCCCCGCGCCGGTCTCCCGTACCTGATCTCCCCCCCCCACCCCCCCACCACCTCGCCCGCCCCGGCGGCGATCCGTCCCGCCCACAAAAACGCGCCGCATAACCGGTAGGTAGGCAGGCAGGTAGGCAGGCAGGCAGGCAGGTAGGTAGGTACACGCGTGTGTATACGTATATATATATATAGGCATAATAATACGTATATATGCGCAGTGCGCATAGGTATACACGTGCAGCAGCAATGCACACGACTTACCTCCGTCATGCATGTTAACTGTCAACTATTTTTACCCGACAATAACGTTTACGACGGCGAAATACAACTGCGAAAATTGCGTTTTCGACGTGCGCGGGGGCCGGGGGAGGGGGCCTTGGCGGCGGCGGCGGGGGCGGACGGGGGTAAAAACGTAAAGAATATTATTGTTATTATCAGGCTCTCGTACGCGCCGCACGCACCGGCGCGACGAACGTTATTTCTCCCGATTGCGCGCCGGTGTATTACGACGGCCGCGGCGGCTCGAGTATACATAATTATCAGGTATATAGTAAAATAATAATAATAATAAAACAAAAAAAAAGAAAAAAAAAAACGATTTTTTATACCGTAGGAAACACGGAATAAAAAAAATGCATTATTTCGTTCCGGTCCGCTCGTTCGCAATGGACGGGATACGGGGGTAGGTATACGTCGTCGGCGTTTTCGGGTTTACTTGTACTGAATACGTCCTGTACCCATACGCGTACTCGTATCATCAGCCCGTACCGGCAGACGTCGTCCGTTCGTTTTTTTTTTCGTTTCGTTTCGTTGTGCAAACGTATTATCACCGTCGCGGTATCCCGACCGGCGATGAACAGTGGCGGTTCGAAAGGGGTACATTTGAATCACGTGATTTGCAGAAAAAAAATTAAACGGCCAGTTGAGCCGTGCAGAGCGCCCGGGCGTTCGGAAATGCGGTAAAACATATTTGGTTTTTACGGAATAATAAAGAATTTTAGACCGCGGAAATTCGATAAATTTGATGAATTCGATTGGGTTTCGTTGCAGGGCATCCGGGTACTTTTGCTCGGCACGAGTAGTCGGGTGGGTGGAAAATTAAGTCGGTGATCCAACGTGAAAATATTTTCAAGCCGCCACTGGAGATAGGCGATAACAGCAACAATACAATCGTATCGAAAATTGAATTGGATTTCAAGAGAGGGGGGGGGGAGGTACTTACGGTGCAGTTTTCGAGCGATCCCTTTAACGAGACGGATGGCTTTAATAAACTGTCACGTGCGTGTACGCGTCACTCGAATTGTTGGCACCTAATGCAAATGTCGACAAACGACAGAATAACAATTTTACAAATTCGTAATCTCTATAGTCTCGTGTCAGTCAGCGACGATTCCTCTTCCCGTCCACACTGTTCGATCATTTTTATAACAGCGTCACATTTGGGTTGAAGATTATTCGAATCGTCTCTGCCACTGGACATCTCGATAAGTGTTTTTCGTCCCGGATGTTGTTTCACATTCCATTTCCTTCACTAAATTCTTCTTAGTTCTTCGCCACTCCAACCGGCTCTCTCAACCGAATATGAGTTTTTCGTATATCAAATTTTGTCTTGACGGTAGGCCTCATCTATTGCACGTGTCCATATCGGTTCATTGTCTCGTAATATGTTTTTTTTCTGTGTTGTGTTGTAACCAAACGATCTCTTCTTATAAATTTATTATCATTTAATGGCATATTATGCGTCTGTTATTTAAATGATTAAACTCGTTGAATTTAAATCCACATTGAAAGCAATTATTGCTCGTTCGGTAAATAGAAGAATTAATTACTCTAAACTAAACAGTCATCGGCTAATCTCAAATTTACTTTTCGCATGATTGCGCAAACAGCTACATATATAGTAACGGATAAAACGCTAAACGTCTGTAAAACTAAACTGCAGTCTTTTAGTCAGTTTAATTACAAACACAAAGATTCATTAGTGGTTCTATTAGGAATATTTTTGTCAGTTGAATTCTTGAGAAGTTTGTCGTATAAATTATGAAACGGAACTTGATTTTCTGTACCGCATGTTTTAGAAAAAATACATTCTATTTAGTAAAACCAAATAAAATGAACAAAATTGGAATTACTGATGGAATATGGCGACGTTATTAAAATAATTTTTAACAAGTTTAATAAACGAGTACATAATAATAATTATGACTAAAAAAAAAAAAAAAAATACTGGAGATGGGAGCGGTCACTGTTGTGAGTGAGAAGTTGGAAAGGTAGGATACATAAAGTTATTTAATTTATATCTGTAAGCAACGATAAACCATTGCTTGATGAAAGACGATTCCGAGTGCAGTTCGGTAATATATAATTTGAATTGTCGTCATTATTTTTGCGATTTTCTTTAAATTTGATTTAAAGACGGTTATTAGAAACAAAAATTTCGTCCGATCATTTTGGAAATTTCACCGCGTTTAGGTAAATTCAATATAAGTATTAATACCAAGTTTCAAGTTTCTACGTGTATTTATAACCGAATTACAGCAAAAGAACTCTCAAAAATTAAAATTCTTTAAAAGTTCAAAAGTGGTTCAAAAGCTATGGCGATTCTGCAGTAAGAAAGTAAATCAAAAAGGCAAGAAAAAAGTATTTTGTGATTTTTTGATTATATAATTTTTTTTAAAACGCCTTTCATTGGCGTCGAAAATCAACAAATAACTTCTTTAAAGTACAATCTGAACAACTTGAGCTTTTAGAAAAGTTACTACACGTAAAAAGTAAGTTTACTAGGAAAAAGTGCGTATACAGACTAGAAGAAGAAAAAAAAAATAAATATCTTAGTAAACCAATAGCTCCCTCGCTATGCTTAGAATCTAAAAATTTCAATTTAATTTGCTCAAAATCGTCGGTTATTACACGGTTCATGCGGTCATCATTGTCATATCGTCGGCCTTATACGTCTGCAAGAATTTTAGCCACCACTATCAGTGGTCTCAAATTTTCTGGTTCGTAAATTCTTTCTTCTTATTGCATTATTTTTATTACTTCCGAACTATCGAGGTCATGTCGTATTCTATTCGTCCAGCGTTTCTTCGATCTTTCCCTGGGTCCTCGGCCTTCTTTCCAGTTACCATGCAATTATAATGACCCGACTTTTTTCGTTGATTTCTTTTGTTTTGCGTGTCTAAACTGGTGGAGTTGTCCTTTCACGTACTATATTAAGGACATTTTAGCCATATTTCTCTTATTTTTTATGTTTTTCTTTTTCGTCAGCAATGTTATTAATTCGTTATCAATCACGGACCTGTGTACCCTGAATTATTCTCGTATGAAAACTTCATAACTCTTATGCCAAGGTGTCGAAAAGAGGCAGAGTTTTAAAACAAAACTCAATTGAAACGTTTTTCCTGTCGACGTATTCAATAATCAGGAGTGGTTTTAAAAATTATATTTCGTTCGGGGGTTCAGGACTTTTAGCATTTGTGTATTATGCAAGATTAAACAAATAACAGTCAAACGTAAATACTGCAGCTCATCACGTAAGAAATCTAAATCTTAAATTTTATTTTGCGTACATTTGAATATTTTACAGTATTTGTTTTTTTAGAACATATTTTGACAGTATTGTAAGCCGCGTATTATACACGCGTTTTTCGATTGTTGAAATTAATACGCTTTGATGTGCGATAGTATAGTCGAATAGACTACCGTAAAATAGGTTGTTAATTTAGATAAAAGACAAGTAATGAGCGTGAACAATAACTTTTGAATGGTTCATTTCGAAATGTAAAGTTTTGACGAAAATACCGTTAAAAAAAATAAATATAAATAAATAAATTAGTTATGGATATGACGTCATGTTTTTAATACACAATTTCAATAAAACAAATTTGTTTAGAGTATTTTTTAGTGTATATTTGGTTGATTTTTAAAGCATATTGGTCTGTGGTTTAGAGCTAAAATTCCCCAAGCTTATAGTTATTATGTGTTATTTTTACAAAAATTTATCAAAGTGATAAAATATTGAAAAAAAAAAAAAAAAATAAGGAAACATTTAAATTTTGTTCGATTAATAATCCTTAATTTTAATTATACTCGATATTGCGCTATTATACAAGGTGAACAATAATTTTACTAAAAATATACGTGTATAGAATCTGAAATTTGTATAAAATTCCTATATTAGCCTTTCTCGGACACGGTGAAATTTTCAAAACATTCTGGAGGTTTTTCAGCAGCTCGTCGGCATTCGACATTTTCGACGTTTCACGCGGATAAAATTGTTTTGGCCAAGCAGAAATTTTTGGAAATTTTACTCGGGGTTCGTGTCATAAAATTTATTTAATAAATGCGCAGTTATCTATTCTATAAGAGCTCTAACTAAAATGTTTAACGAAAATCGTAAAAACCGATAATTTATCGATGCAAATCTAATATAACACGTTATGTCTCCCGCGTTCCGGACTTCTTATCTAGTACCTGTAGTGTACAATATTAGCTGTTCTGTTTCTTTTTTAGATTCTAAGTGTAGCGAAGAAGCTTTTGGTTTTACAATAATGTTTATTTTTTTTTCTTATGTGTGGACAATTTTTCTACTAGAAACGTTGTGACACCTCGGGGCACTTTTTCTAGGAAGAAATCTGACTGTGAAAGTATTTTAAGGAGGTAACTTTATTGGTACAATATTGAACAAATATTATTAAAGAAAATATGTAATGCCTATTTAATTATTTTACTATAATATGACATAATATTATATATTGTTGACAAAACATCACTATCGACTGAATTCCGCTCAGAATCGTTTTTTCGACAGAAACGGTTTACCGTTGCTTGCAGGTATACATTAAATTCCCTTCTGTATTGTACCTCCCAAAATGTTTTCTCCGTAACCACGGTTGCGATAAATAAATAACAATATTATATTTTGCGATTTTTCCGTTCGTAAATTTGTATAACATACCCGCGTATTGTACACGCATTTTTGAAACACGTACGTACGTATACATTTGAATAATAAACCTTGAAAATAATCTTGGGGTTATACTCTTATAAAGTCGGAAACGCGATACGCAAACGAGCTCCGCTCGGGGGCCGTCTTCTTCCGAATACGTTCGAGAAACAAACATTCACAATAATTCGATACGACGTCGATCCCCCGGCGGACGCGATTCGCTTACCTACCCACTGTGTAAAGATGATTATTATTCAATGTTTTTCCTCTTCCGAACTACCATTACGCAATTTTATTAAAAAACCGAGTGCCCCTACCTCACCTGTATAATAACGTATAACGTATTTCTTCGCGGTGATGTTGCAGAAAACAAGAAACGTTAAATCGCGAGTGTACAATATACGTTCATACAAGGCGATACACCCGAATATTTTGGTGAAATTTTGCGTACACTCTAATTACGATTTTTGGAATTCTTAAAGCGTAATTCGAATACTTAGATTTTTCACAAAATTTAAGGAGTGTCCTGTGGCGATACAAACTTTGGTTTTTCAAACAAGAACGTATGTATTGAAGATTTCATGTATAGGCGGAGTATTGCTTAAAATTTTGGCGTCAACATTTTCGGTTTCCGTCAACCCGTAAAAAATCGAATCATTCGAAAATGTCGACTTCATAATATCTGAATTTGCACACGCGGTATTTGATAAAAAAAAAAAAAATCGGACTAGTCACGCTTAGTGAATCACTCCGTATAAAAAAAAAAAAAAAAAAAATCAAAAATCAAATCAATTGTTCGACCCGGAAAACGTAATATTACGATAGTGCCTGCGGTTTTCGTGTTGAATTTTCATTTGCATATCGCTCGCCGGCGTTTGAATTTTAAGCACAGACATAACATTGACCTGTCCATTTGAACGTGAATAATATTATTGAAATGCAAACGATTCCGTTCCGTTCTTCGGTAATCGGATACTTTACAATAGAAACGAGAAACAATTACCTCTTATTATCGCGATCACAACGCGCGACCATTTTCTCCTCGTACTGACAATAATAATTCGTATATTGTATGCAAAAGTTATAATTGTATAATTGGTTGTATAAGAGAACACGCGACTTACCTCGATGAAAGGCGCGAACGCGTTGGACGCGGGAAAATGAGACGGCGTATGGTGCCACATAGCGGTGGGGGGCATCGGGATCGGGTAGACGGGACGCGGCTGAAAGACGGGATACGGAGAGGCGCTGCCGCCGCCGCAACCGTTGATGACCGGCCGCCGTTCGCCGGCACCCCCGCCGATGACGATTCTCGGGTCCAGTATTATCGGCGTGGTCACCACGGCCGGTTCGCTGCGGAAATCGGCCATGACCAGGCCGCTGCCGACCGTCCGGCTGTGGTGGTGTAGGTGCGCCAGAGGCTGCTGCTGCTGGTGGTGCGGCTGATGGTGGTGATGGTGATGGTGATGGTGCCCGACGATGGACATCGATGGCGGTCGATTGACTCCCCGGACCTGCTGCATCGCGGTCTGGTGCATCACCGCGTGGACGACCGCGGCCTTGTCGTCGGCGGCGCGTACGGCGTTCATCATTTGGGTTTTTTCCTCCATCAGGACCAAAAACTCGTCGTGCGCTGAAATACCCGATAACCGTTTTTAAAAACTTGTTTGTTATTGTTTATTAATGGCAACAGGTACCGAAGCACACACTGACAATGTCTCCTAGACTCAGAAAACACGGCCCCTCTCTAGAATTTCGAAAACAAATTTTAAAAAATGTACTTTGGTACCTATGTGACCATTAGGAAAATAAATCTGTCAAAAAAATTGACAAGTTATAAATTGTGCATTGAACTATAAACATAAAATTTATGAAAAAAACATAACAAAATTATTTAAGCGGTTAACATTCTAAAATAAATATAAAATTATAATACGAAAACTAAAAAAAAAAATCCGTAGAAAAACCTTACCAAGGATAGTATCGGTATTGTTTTATGTACCGCCAGTCTCGATTTTGAAAATCATAAAATAATTTTTCATTGTTTAGGTAAAAAGGACAACCAACAGTTGAATACGTATCTAATTACGTATCCACCTATGTTATTATAAAATTTATATTATACGTTTATTCGTTCTGTTTTTTTTTTATGGAACTAAAAATAAATTTGTCCTAAAATCCTATGCCCCGCACCCCGCGCGAATAAAAGGACTTACAAACTTGTTGTGTAAAAATCGCAAACTGGGAGAGATTTCTGTTTCAAACATTTAATCGCATGACAAACGAACGATTGGAAAATATAAACAAAATTATATTGGAATAGCTCAATATCGTCGTCAGTCTGATAATGATACATTCGGGATTGATGCTGTATCGATACCAAATGGCGCGCCAAAAAAAATGCTCGCATTGGCGTAAATTGGGGAGGGGGGTTTGAGAGCATATAGTTTCCTCAAACTCCGTCAAGTTACTCCACAAATCGAGTACGTAATAAGTATAACAGTCCATTTTTTTTGTGAGGCTTAACTGCCACGCACTTTCGCCATGCATAGCCTTTATTTTTAACCGACAGTTAGTGAGCGATTTGATTTCACAATACTCCCTTACCTTTTCCACGCATTGACCTGTGGGGGAGGGGGGGGAGTATGTATATGTTTTTGTGCACACTCGATAAATTTTCACACTTGATTTCCCGTACATTATCATGCACGTTGACCTTTTCGGATACGCGTATTCAAAAACCTAACTCGGAAGTGTTAGACAGGAATATGAATCTCGTGCCCCTCAAGTCTATTTCTGTACTTTTAGCGAGTGCGTGGAATGAATTGTTCTTGTGTTTATAGAAAATACGAGTACTTCATTATTTTGAAACGATCGAAATAATACATTTTTAATATCAAAATGTTTTTTTTTAAAAATTAATTTAAAAAAAAGTTAAACAAATTTTAATCATTGAATATTTTGTTATTTTTACACTTTGGCAAACATACAGAAAAAAAAAGAAAAAGAAAAACATACTTCGCAGTGGGCCAATGTTGTAGGTGACGAGTTGTGAAGGTAAGATATAGAGGAGGATTGAGTTTATATCTGTACGCAACCAATGCTAACAAAAATCGATTCGGAGCAAGTTTCTTTTTTACATATGCGCACATTTTTCAATTTTACTTCAATTTATTCCCCTGTTTTTCTCATTTATTATGAAAACTGCTTGGAAAATTAAAAAATGGCCTTCTCAAAGTACCAACTAGACAAAATTTCCTTTCAGAATTGGTGCTACACTTGATTGTAAAACCAATAGTTTCCTGGCTGCGCTCCGAATTCAAAAAAAATATAGTTGCACGTGAACAGCAAGTGCGCAGTGTACCGAAAAATATGCGCATGGCAGTCAATGCGTCAAGCCCCGCCAATAATATTTGAGCTATTTGCGTCTACGTATGTGTCAGCGAAAAATGCATTATTGTATTTTATTATTTATTCTATACGAGTCGATTTCGTTCGTTTAATTCGTCTGTGAAATAATATAATATTCTATATAGTACACCCACGCGCGCAATCGTCGAAAATCCGCGAATCTCAAAAATGTCCATTAAAAGGATCGTACAAACGTGTACTAATCAACAAACAGTTATTTCATTTAACTCCGGGGTCGGTTTCGTTCAAATATTTCTATTATAAAAATAAATATTTAATCCTTTGATCTCTGGCGACGCGCCGGACGTCACGACGTCGACAAAATATCACCCAAATATTATTGAAATGTATTGACATCAGACGTATTTTGGCGAATAATCAAATGCAACCGGGTTCTAATCAATTTTATAAACAATGCCGTTTTGGCGATTTCGGTCATTACTTCGGTTATAACTACTTGGTTATAGGTTATCGGAACAAAAAGAACGGCTTTTGTTGTTTTGGTTTGATGTAAAGTAATGACTATAGATATCCTATTTATCCGGTCAGTGTTTTTTATTTTCTAAAATTTATTTATTTTCTAAATTCTTAATTCAGTTTCTTCGTTTAGGCTATCAAATTAGATCATTGTAATAAAAAAAAAAAAAAAAAAAACCCTATTTAAAAATCGGAAAAAAACGGTTTAACAATTATCAAAAACCATACTGTACAATATCATGCAGATTGTGTAAACCGCCCGTACAATAAATCTAGTATTTTGTTCATCAACTATTGAACTTGCGAAACATGTAAAACACTTGAATACAACGAATTTGAAATTTATGACGTCGCACACATATTATACAATACAAAGAATAAACGAGTGCCTAAATATCAAATTAATTTTTAATTTTCAAATGTACACAACATTATCGATTGACATTGTTTCGAATGACCATGCACATGTCGTTTTCGCGTTAACCGTTAACCGAAATCATATAGCCACGGCTGATAACGCGTGGGTTAATCGGCAATATTTACACGCAGCTATTCAATTACAAACGGCTTATTTTTTATCGTCCGCCGATTATCCAGCCTATAAACTATGTTGTTCGGAGTGGCGTGGGCGCTAGGGCAACGCGACCGGCCACGAGCGCCGCGGGTCCCGCAGTAACGCACTTCAGTGTTCGTCTCGGGAAGTGCGGTATAGTTCATATAGATTTGTTAAACATATCAGAGCCGTACGTGGGTGTTGATGGGACAGCAGAGGCTGTCGGGGTGTTAAAAATAAAAAAGGCTAGCAAAGTGTCGGAAAAATGCTAATGCAATTTAACAACTATCAATTGGCAATAATATTATACTCGTTGGACACATTGAGTATGTAAGCCTATGGCTTAAAAATAACACAGTTTTATTTGTAATAAAAATGTACATTTCTTTTTTTTTCCGCATCAACTGAAATATTTATTGACTTATTCATATTCAGAAGAGCCAAGCATTATAAGCGATATTGCTCAATTCGGGATCTCGACCGAGTTTTCAATCTAAATAATAAAAACAATAAAAACTATAAATTTAAAATATTTACATTTATTAAGGACACAAGAGGACGGGGATTATATTGATTTGGCCGAACGGTTTAAGAAACATCTAGATAATAGGAAAGTTTAACGGTCAATAACTAATACTGTAAATTGAATACGCTATAACCATTTAAAAACGATAAAATAACAAAGTAAAATAAAATTATTAAAATGGTTAATACTCGTAAATAAATAAAGTGTATAAATATATAAATAAAAAATGTGTATATAAAAATCAAAAAAAAAAAAAATAAATGAATGAAGGCGACGCATTCAAAATTTAAAAACGTTTTTTAAATCTTAAAGATTTAAAAATCTTTAAAGAAGCACTTAAAATACCCCCGAAAAACTCAAAATGCAACATTTCAAAAATGTAATAAAGTAATGTGTCATAAATTAAATAGATAGATTATCAATTTTTAATGTTCATAATCACTTACTCGTATTAATTACATAGTAAAATTACCCACTAAATTACAGCCCTAGCAATAATCGAAATAAATAAGGTCAAAGAACTATTGCATTGTTATATTGTTTTGATTACTTTGAATTAATCAAATTAATATTGTCTATGCATTGATCGTTCTCCCCTCAAATGCGCCACTGTGTACCCGTGTCGTTTAGACACCTCTAGTCAGGGCCAAACGTTTTATTTTGAGCGGACGGACAGGCGTTATGATCCACAGGCGCTTTTCTTCTTTGATCTGTGTAAATCGGCCTCCAACTGGGACGTGCACTTGGTAGTCACGGGCCGATTAATCTAGAACGCTATGCGCATTAAAAGTCCTAGTCACGCCACTGATTGTCCGACGACCACGGGACAATGCATTCCGGCATTCTGGTTTTTCGTTTACAATGATTGGCACTGTTTCACATTTTGTTTTGTATTCTTACGTGAAACTTGCAAAATATCAATTTATTCATTATATTTTAAACGGCATTAATACTACGCACACTACATGAGATTTTAAATTTTACATTACAATTATTATACACTGCCGCTACATTTTATAGTGATGATGTTTTGCTGGCGACATTTTTGTCACGTTTTATTTTGTCGGCGATAAGAAGCAAACGTCGATTGTGCAGGGCAATTACTATAATGTAATATTTTTCACACGGGTACGTTTGAAAACTTTTTAGTAAAACAAAAATAAAAATGTTGCCGAAAACGCATTTTTACATTCACGCGTTTAATATTGAACAAAACAGCGACTTAACATGCACGAAAAATAATGTTTATTTTTTGGTATAAATAACTCATCATTCACAATTTTGCGATTCAACAATTTTATTAAGAGCACCCGCGAATTACTGAACTTTAGGATGCGAGAAAAAGAATAACTATCTAAAAATATTATGTATTCCTTTTTAGCTTGCAGCCTAATTAATAAACGCGTTAAAAATAGATTTATATTATTTTTGAAATCAAAAATAATTGCCCGTTGTCTTCCTTTGGTTGTAACTTGTAACGGTTATGTAGCTCATGTACTTAGGCATATAATTCACCTATTATAAAAGTATCGCTCAACAATACTTATAAACCGCTAATACCTTTAATAAGATAATTGTACTATTTTAAGAGTTAAATTAGATACTTGCCTATTTTCAATTTCCCTATTTCGCTATCTGACACATTAAAATATACGAAAATGTTATTTTTAATTTCGGGACCATATAAAAATATAACCTTAGCCGAATCCAAATGATTCGTTCAACTGCAAGATGCTGATGGATTCGTAATAATTTTTTTCAATTTTATACTTAGTTTGGTATATAGGTAAATGTTTAACTAATGAATTTTCATAAAATAGCATCTCCCCCTACCACTCTATAATATTTATATTTATGTATGAAAATAATTGTTTTTACTTTCTGTTCGTTCTAGCCATCGTTCGTAGCATAATAGAGCAATATTTTGATCCAGTCTCATTTGATGAATAATTATAAATATATTTCAAATTATTATTATTTGAAATTCAAATATGAATAATTTGAATTTTTAATTATGAAAGTGTTTTTTTTTTTTTTTTAGCATTTCACTATTATTTGAATTATATACAAAAATAAGGAGAATAGAAACTTTAAACGCGAGTTCGTTCGATTGAAGCAACTTTACTCTGCACTCTGATTGGGTTCCGTTATATATGTTTTGAAAAGCCGTGATATTTACGATTAGAAAATAAAATGTTTTGTACATTTTTTAATTTCTCCCATGTTTTTTATCGATTGACAATGAAAACTTTTGAGGAAATCAAAAAATGACATCCATAAAGTACCACCCCAGCCAGATTTTCTTTCGGAAAAAGTGCTTCACTTGATAATCAGAGTAAAATATCTAGTAGAAATGTCGTTTCACAGGAAAAACAAAAAAAATATATTATTGTACAACCAATACACAGAGAACCGTTTCACCTCAGTGGTGCGGTTTGCCTGGTAAATGAACATACTCCCGAATATTTTCGACAAAGTAGGACGCTTTTCACATGTATATTTTTTAATGCGGCCATTTTCCTGCCATACTTATACTTATTGTATGATTGTATAAGAATATTTTCTTCAAAGAAACTGATGGAGATTTTGGACAAAAATTTAAATTGCTATGGTATCTGATACAGTACTGTCATTCCAATGGGTTTTGTAGAATATGTTGCGACTATCTATAATTATATTAATAGAAATATTTGTAAAACAAAACAGGGTTGTTTGTTTTAACTTTTTACACATTAAGACGAAACTAGAAATTTGACAGTAAAAATAATAATTTCGTATTCTAATTTATTTTTTAAAATTGTTTAATACATTTTTCAAATATCCGTATTAAAAACGGTACCAAATGAAAATGGGCGTAAATCGATTCCGCCGAAATGACTTTTTTACATGTAAAAAATGTATCGCCGGCTATCGACTCCGCCGGACATTTGAATATGCGTTCATTTAGCTGGCTATCGATTCTGTCGAATTTTTTTACATGTTCTTTTCAATTATCTTTTTTTTTTAATTAATAATAGGGACAAATTCACGGGTCAAACAATACGCGCATGATTTTATAAAATGTATTTATTAAATGGCGGTATAGACTCCGAGTGTACACATTATTAGATTTGGGTTACTCTTCGTGATTGCACTGTATGCACACATTAATTTTAGATTCTGAGTGTAGCGCAGAATGTATTGGTTTTATGAATATGTTTATTTTTTTTTTGTATGTGAATGATTTTTCTACCAGATAGCTAACTCCAATGTACACAATGTAGACCCTTTTCTGAAGGTTCTGAATTTTTTTAGTGTGGTACTTAAGGAAAATTGTTTTCAAGTTTTCCCATCAAAAATGAAAAATTGACAAAAAACATGGGAAAAACGGGAAAATCGGTACAATATTTAACAAATACTACTAAAGAAAAAATATAGTGCCCATTTAATTATATTACCATAATGAGACATATATATTGTTGAAAAAGCATTACCATCAACTGAATTCCGCACAGAATTGTTTCTAGTAAGCAATGCTTACAGATAGAAATTAATTTCCCATCTATATTCTATCTTCCTCATTTCTCACCAACAACAGTGGCTGCATCCATTGTGCGAAGTTTGTCCGTCTTTTTAACGATTGTCTTTATGTTACGATCAACAAAGATTTGTGCACTACACTTTTTATTGACACATTGCCATTTGTAAGAATCGAAGTACTGCACATACGTTTTATTAAAAAAATTTAAAATTTTTCATACAATAAATTGATTATTTCGTTCCCTAACAATTGTATTATTTCAATATTCATTTTTACATTGCGTGACATAAAACGCGCACAAGATTACAATCTTTACTAAAATGTCTATTATTTGAACACGAGAAAATATTGGAAAACGTACGTTTTTAATTTTAGATCTGATTTCCTGTTTTTCGAATAAACTCTTCAGTGTCGTATTTGAGAGGGTAGATTAGTGAGGTATATTTCCTCTTTCGAGATTTTTCTTACTAGGTAGCTATTATTTATACGAATATTTATTTTTTAAATTCGAATTTCTTTATTTTCTAGTTAGAAAAATAAAAAAATTATGTTAGTAAGTACGAAGTTAAATGAAAAAAACCCTTATTCTTAGGTAAATGTCCTTGTTAAAAATGAAACCTATCCGAATCACTTTAATATAAAGAAAGTTTTACCCCTGTTTATTTTTAGAGGATAGTATAACTAAACTAATAATATATCAATGTTAATGTTTTAATAAAGACAAATCGAATTATAAAATACGTATTAATTTAAAATTGTATTTTTTTTTTTTTGTTTTGGCTAACTTGGGTACACATTATACAATTTATGTAACAACGTATTTCAAAATTCAATATCTCCCTCTTTGGCAAAATCCTAAATACGCCAATGAAACTCTTATTTTATTACGCATATTACGACATGAAACCGACGCGATAATACGCGATCTCCAATGGAATAAATAATATATGTCTACATAAAATACCATCTGTATTACCGCCTACGGCCTGGTCACTTTTTACAAGTCTGTAGAGTTGAGTGAAGATACATTATCCATTTTCAGTGGCGTATTTACGGGAAGGGGGCACAAGGCGCCCGTTTCCCCCACATTGGTCTTATATATGCATATATTTTAATAATAACTGTTACCTATAACTACTATACAGATGTGCACAACCTTAGATAATATACAGATTATTCTATAATCTGTACGTAATCGTCATGATCTAAAACTAAAACTGATAAAGTGTCAAGATGTACACGACCTTATGATGAACATTTTTCAGAACAATACAATAATTTTTTACGAACACATTATTCATAAACATAACTAAGCAGCAAGTATGGATAAATGTCGTCATTCTTTTAAATACCGTCACACATTTTCAGTTCGAGGTAAAGCACAAAAAAAAAAAAAAAAAAAAAATCTATACAATTTCAATTAAAATCGTTGGATATTATTTCTCTTCGAAATCTCAAAAGTGCACTACAATTATAGACATTGTCAACACCATAGACCGATTCCGAGTGTATGGTTTACAGTATAACCATCAAAAGGCAATCGTATCGAGAGGATATTAGATTAGCGAAATCAGAAATCAAATTTTTTTTTTTTAATTTTGCGTGCTGGAATAACTGCTGTATCCTCAGCCAGTCTCCGTTTCAGCGCAGTTTATAATTTCGGGTTGCCCACGATTTGGGTTCCGTGTCAGGCGTACGAAATGTGTCGGTCACACACGGAATATAACGCGGATAACGATACGCGTCTCGACAAACGTTACCGGCCATTTTACGAGCGCGAGCGATATCGTTTTCCAGTTTACTCCGCCGCGGAAGATTATCGTTGTTGACGGGCCGGCACGTGACACAGACGGCCATCTCCCCGCCCCCCGGTAAGAACTCGTAACAACGGGTAGGACGCGCCGTCCGTAGTTTTTCGTTCGGCGCCACGGCGACCGCGCGCGCACCGTCCGCATAGACGCGCGCAAAACCGAAAACCGTACGCGAACCGACGGGAGACGCCGGGACGCGACGAGACGACGGGTGCGGGGGTGGGGGCGTCGTCACGCGGGCGCGCCGCATTTACGTCCCGCGCCGCGCGAATGCGTCGCCGTTCTGCCGGCCGGCTGACGACGGGCCGAGCGGCGCCGGACCGGGCCGGGAACGCCGCGTCCGCAGCGCCGCGGCATCGCACGGCCCGACTGTTTAAATATACATTATGAAAACCGTAGGCGCGGGCTCGTGATTCCCGCGGGGAGTTGGGGGGGGGGGTTTATATTACGCGCATACATTTTTTAACGGCGATAATTAAATTCGTTCCGTGTCCGTCCGAACAGAGACATTACGATAACATCGCGTATTACTGCGTTATGACGCGCGGAATGAAAAAAAAAAAAAAAAAAAAAATAATATTTTTTTTGTTATTCCCTCCCTCCCTCCCCCGCGCGGAACACTCTTAATTCCATATAATTTGTATTGCAATCGCAGACATTATAATATGCGTTTTATGTGTAGTCGCGATACGCCGTTACGTTTTACCTGTATGTATGTATACGCATATATAGGTTAGGTTACATAATTCAGTGAATACTCAGTAAATAACATGGATTATAATATGGACGCGTGTGTGTTTAGTAAATTATTTGTTCAAACCATACTCTTTCGAAATAAAATAAAAAAAAAAAAAAAAAAAAAAAAAACTATGGATANTTCGTTCCGTGTCCGTCCGAACAGAGACATTACGATAACATCGCGTATTACTGCGTTATGACGCGCGGAATGAAAAAAAAAAAAAAAAAAAAAAAAAAAAAAACGGAGCCCCCGTGCGGCTTTTATTGAATTACATTTTTAACGCTTGACACGTGATATAATATGCGCGCGAGATATCCAATATAACTCTACCGTAAACACGCGCCAAGCGACGGGGCTGAAAACGTTTAGCCCGTATTATAAAACATTCACTCGACATTAACTATTACCGAGAAACCGTCCCCCTTCTAGTTTTTTTAAAAAAAAAAAAAAAAAAAAAAAAAAAAAAAAAAAAACTATGGATACGTCACTCTCGGATACCATTTGTAAAAATCGTGCGAAATTCGCGTACATGAAAATGTCCGACAAACAACAATAGTACATTATTGAAATGCGAATGTATTAGCGTGAACTGCGGAATCGTCAACTCAATATGGAATTTTCACGTAAAATGTGTACCGAGTGTAGATAATGTAAAACAGTTTGTTTTTAAATAAATCAGACTTACCGCGAAACAATATTATCAATATCGTTAAGTACTCGTAATTTGGTAAGAAGCGTATGAATCGGATAGCCGTCCCGTTCTGTATTGTTCGAAAGCTAAAAATCTAACAGTATACTGTCCTAACCGGAGTGAGACGACGGGTAAACGAGTTCTATACTTTTCGTTTTTTAATAAATAAAACGTGAAGTACTTATTTGTTCGGAGGATTTTTCGCCTATGAAGCCGTTTTTTGTAAAGATTGCAATAAACCTCATACAACTCCAGAAACGGAACCGGAAGTTGTGAGTAAATTAGGTTTATTAATTTACTGTATTTTGCATTTTTCGTTAACAGAATGTCTCCTAATGACGAAGTTCCACACATTCATACGCCCATGACCATCCATCCACCCACTCATTTAATTTAACGGTCGTGTATTGGGGTACCCATTCGCGTCACTATCACCGATCAATACTGTCATTTTACCGGATTCTTGACGGGTGTTAGAATGTGTCCAAACTGCGAACGAACAACGAAGGGAATAATATATTGTAAGACATTCAACAGGAATAAGAATCGTTGAACTCTGCGCAGTTACGACGTTTAATCATGTTCGTCAAATGAACCGACACAAACCAGTGTATCGAAGCGGCGCGAGCTTCCGAATTCCACTATTGGACATTGTAACAATGTTTAAGCGACTTGTATGTACGTTTTTATTCGTTCGGATCCAATCGTGCTCGACGCGAATTTCGATCAGACAACACGACGTCACACTAATCGCGGTGTATTGTGCGTTCAAGATGTCCGAATTTCGTTTGTTTTGTTCCCAACGGTTTGAATTTCTGTTCTTTTTACCGCACACATTTAACGCACGAAGGAAAGTCGCGAAAATTCACGTTCCAGACATTCTATTCGAAATGGCCGGGAGATCGCCTTAAATAGCCGTTGATTGGACCGCTTGTGTGCCGAGCGCGCGGGACCAGCTAAAACCAACTCCGACTCGGCCCTGCAGGTGAGTATTTATAACTTTTGATTTTGTTCCGACCGTATATCCACCGAGGTTTTTTTTTTTTTTTTTCGTTATTACCGGCCCTACTTTGTTATAATAACGGTTAATTGATAATAATATTCCGATACCGCGCACTTTTTACAGAAACGTTCGATTTATTTGTACTTTTAACCATTTATACATGCGTAGGTAATACGCGCAGACTCCCCCAATACGCATAACGAAGTCCAATAATATTATATAGTTTCGTAAAAAAAAATATCAATTTTCCAAAGGTTCGGGCAAACGTAATTATTAATACTGTAACGAACATATTATGTTTGTAACGAAATGTTTGTAAGCCGCGGTTAAGTTCGCAGGACAGAATTGCGTCGTGTCGTATAATATAATACATGGATACTGGGAGTCAAGTGTCAAAATAGGGTCGCAAGGGAGGGGGGGGGGGGGGGGGGGGGTGGGTGGTGGTGGGGTGTGTGGGTTATTATTAATGCGGATATAAAAAAGTCCGTCGAGTGCGTATTTACCAATCGACCATTTCTCGAGTGCCGCCGTCGACTCGAAATCAGCCCTTTTATTATGCGTACACGCACGAGTATGTATTATATTATTTAAAAGGACGAAACATACTATGTTCTATATGGGCGTCCCACAGCCATGTACACTTTATAATATTAAAATTATACAATTATATTAATATCTATCGATAATAACGATAACGGATTTTTTTTTTTTTTTTTTCTAGGTTGAAGTGCACGCAGCAGTTATGTGTGCGAAAAAAAAAAAATTATTTTATCTACCGGACATGCCGGTAACTCATCGCGATATAATATATCGATTTAGATTCTGAGCGAACGCGAATAAGCAATTAGTTTTACAAAGACGCGTGGTTTTTTTTTTTTTATTTTTCCTGTCTCCGGAAAACATTTTTACGCGGTTAAGCAAATGTCCCGATATTACCTCAAAAGATGCGGAATTTCCGACCGGGCGTTGCACTCTATTTGAAACGTTCATCGACGTTTTTAGCGGTTCCCTTCTACGGGTCCTTTATTTGTTGTCGTATGGTTTCGCCCCATTACTGCTAGCTGTGTTACGCGTTGACGACAAGCGAAAAAACACGACTACTAGTAACTACTACTACTACCACTCAGCTCAGAACCGCTTTTATCGTTTGCGATGGTTTATATTCTGTTTGCATACAATTTATTATAAAACAAATTGCGTTGCAATACCTTCCCGACTAATCACCTACAACAGCGCCAAATACGGATCCAACGGCTTTTCGTCTACTACAGAATCTTGTTTCCGGTCGATTTAGGAAATTCGATTTTTCGCGCATTGAAACAAGTTACGCGTCACATGATATTCGATTTAAAAACGGTTTTGAAACGGTTTATTACGTTTCTTAATTCTGGACGTAGGCACGTTAGCTCAACGTCCTTTTTTGGATTCGGGGTTTTCTAATAGTATCATCGTTCTCAGTTTATCATTTGTTTGGTATTTTTTATACTTTGTTTAGATTTTTTTCCACCGTTATAACCAAAACACTGAAGGGGTTCGCCAGCCCCCGGGTTTACAAAGAAGTATACAATTTATGTTTTTACTGAACACTACATTATAACGGGAATGACAAAACACTTTATAACTTAATTTATACTTAATGGGATTTTTATATTTTCGGTTGATGTAGGTATAAAATAAAAGCTTTTAAATTTCTTTTTTTTTAAAGTCGAGTAAGTCGGTGTCTACAACTAGACTATAAATACATATTATACGTTTTTTTTTTTCTAAAAATATTATCTAGTAAAAATTTAATAATAATTAAATTATGTCTTAAATTTAAAAAAAAAAAATGAATGTGAACATTTTTATAATTACTCAGTAATGTTCAGTACTCGATATTATAATTTCCCGCCAAGATTAAATGTGTGTATTATTATTTATTATAGTTCTTAGAAAATTAAAGCACAATGTCTAACAATAGATTGGTTATATTATTTACTTTTTTGGCCTTCATCGGCACAAACGGTTTTAGTATAATAAGCCCGGTTTCCGACCAACTATTTCGAAAATATTTTATAAAATAAACATACTTCACACTATGGGTGGGCCATTGTTGTTGGCGAGAAGTTGGGAAGTTGGGAAAATAGAGGGTAAATTTAATATATATCTGGATACGCAAAGCTTAATCGTTGCTAACGAAAAACAATTGTGAACGGAGTTCGGTCGTATATGTTTTCAATGGCCGTAATAATATTTACGATTTGAGAATAATTTCTTTACATTTCGTAAATATTTTCCCTTTTTTCCCATTTATTATGAAAATCAAAAAATTACCTTCTTAAAGTACCACCCCGGTCAGAAAAAAATTCTATACTTGAAAATCGAAGTAACATTTTTGGTAGAAAAGTTGTTCATATAAAAAAAAATAAAAAAATAAACATCATTGTAAAACCAATACACTTCTCGCTCCGCTCATAATCTAAAATCTATGATTACAAATTAAATATTTAATTGCGAGTGGTATATTATTGTTTTATTTATGACAGAACGGTATAAATTTTACAATGGATGCATGACAACATATTGCCATAAATGGAAAAAAAAAAATGTATACACCTAACACGCAAAGTATTCAAAAAGTCCGAACGAATTTTGAATTTGTCGAACAAATAAAAATGGCATACTAAATGATGACAAAAAAAACCACCACGAATTTCGTATATTTATTAAAATTCGGCGGTTGGAGAAACGTTTCTACGCCTCCTCCCCAGCGTTATAGGACTTCGGTTATAAAAATCGTAAAAAGTACGAACAATTACAAACAAAAGTAATACATGGCGATAGTGTGGGAAAACCGAAAATTCAAAAGATGGGGGTAGGGTAGTGTAACGTACGCGAATTTTCGTCTGTGTAAAGTCTGTTGACAATTTCGCAAACGTTCACACTCACCGTTGTCGCACTGATACGACTCGAAAAAAAACCACGATGTTTGAAACCATTTGTTAACGTGGAAAACAGTTTTTTAATGAGTACGCGGTGCCGAAAAAAAAGAAGAGGGCATCCCGTTTATAAATTATTCGTTACGTGTAAATCCAATAGAATTCCGAGTTCGTCGTCAGAATTTCAAATCGAAATACACGCAGGGACAATAGGCGCGTCGCACGTTTTAAAAACGTACGCATTTTATTCTTTATGGAGTACAATATTAATAGGAGTCTTGTCGAAGTACAATTTCCGTGATTCGGGGTTTCACGTTGCGAATTTTATTTTCCTTTCCGAACGCGTTCCGTAAATCGTCCGTAGTCGTTTATTTGGCTTTTACCAAAAGACCTCGGACGGGTACTACCCTGTACCTATTTAATATATCATATACTATACTATAGTACTACACGGTATCACCGTCCGAACGCGTCAATTTAGCAAATAAGTGAAGTAAGCAGTCTATGCAGATATTTACCCCGTTTCTATAGTATACAATATGTTTTTTCGATGGACAAAAAAATTACCTATAAATATGTATTATCTTTATGGGCAATGGTACTTTTAGCGTTTGCATACATTTTCCAAGAGCATAACGACCTGTCGTCAGGTGCGTTAATTGGCATTTTTTAATGCTTTAAATATCATCCTACATAAGATGCTTATTTCCATTTACTTGTCGACGTTTAACGGTTTACATTTCGCGGCAGTCACAAATCGAGACGTCGTGTAATAAATGCGCATTAGTTCTCAACGATTACCACCGATGAAATAACACCATCGACTGGAAATTTAATAATTTCATTTGACTTCATTTGACCAAATCTATTTTTTTTTAAAGAAAAGAAAAGTTTAAAAAAATATTGTTTATTAGTTTTTGGATACTAAGTGTTGCGCTGAAGAGTAAGGTTTTTTATTAGTATGTGTTTTTTTCACGAAAAGGGACCTCGATTTTTTTTCACGTACTAAAATTTTTTGCCCGTTAGTATTTACCTTGTTTAAACAATTTTTCTAGATTCTCGACGGATTTTCTAATAAAATTAAAACAGTCGACGCTGTAATCGGTTTTATTTTTGTTGATTTTCTGGTTACCATTTTAATTGATCGATATTTCATTTTCATACGAAACCCACCACCACTTTTATTTCATATGGAATCCACTTATACATCTATCACCAGCCATGTCACTGGCGGGTTACCTTGTGGTTACAATAATGAAATAAAACACGACTATATAACCAATTACCCGAACTCCGATCTGAATCGTTTTTTAATTGAAATGGTTTATTTTTGGCAACAATTTGTTGCCTTTAATAATTTAGAAACTAAGTTACCCTAATAGGTATCCTGTTAATCCATAACAATATACCTTCCAAATTTATCGTCTGTCCGTGGCGCGACACGTAATTTTACGGTGTGTCACGCGAAGGTATACCCATTACAGTATCTCGGTAAGTATAAACTCTTTTCGGAATTATTATTATGATTTTTTTTCATTATTTAAGAAACAAACAGCTTTAAAATGTTAAATTACGATTATTTTTTGTCGCGTTTATTTTAGGAGATAAAACGACTGATTAACTTTAACTTTCGATTGGCAACCTAGGGATAACTTAACATTCTTTAAATTGATGGAGTACTATTTTAAACATATTTTGCTGTCGATATTTTTTGATTTTCATCAAGCCCCCCCTCCCGCGATATTTCTTTATATGTTTTTCTAAACGGAGAGTAGTGGGTTATCATTTGTGTACTGGCATGGTGTGCACTTTGAATGACTTCAGTAGTTTCTCGTCCATAAATAATAATGATAACGTAGTTACCATTATTGTAATTGTAGTGCTGCTTGTTTCTTCTACTATAGTAAAAATAATAATGATAATAATTCCGAAAATAGTTAATACTTTC